GCTTTCGTGATTTGAGTGTTTGTCTCCCTGGAGTTTGAAATTGCTGTATTCTCTTGGACCATGAAGAACCAGATGGAAAGCTGAATTTTATAGTCTCTGTTACCATGGTCAGCAAAAAAAAAAAAATCCATGGATTTTGCTGGTAAGTTCAGGAGCTGGGTAAGCTTTTAGAGAAAGGAAGGAGGGGTGCACCCCTTCCCCTCCTTTCAGGCAGCTCTCTCACTTTCCCGTCTGTCTTCATTTCTTAGCGTAGTTATTCCAGGCTTTGAAGGCAACACACAGATCATTCAGATTGGCAATATCTAACTTGATGGGTCCATTTCCTCTTTCTGCTTTGTGCTCGAACTGTACCAGGCTCTGGGGATTCAGAGGCAAACTAGACAGACAGGACCCCCGCCTCCACAGTGTCTAGGCGGAGAGCAGAGTGTTAAACAAGCAGTTACAATAACGTGGGATGATGGGGCAGTACCAGGCACCAGGGGAGCACAGAGCTGAGAGACCTAATCTTGTCTAGACAGAGATCTACGTAGGCAGAGGGAACAGCACATGTCAAGGTCCAGAGATGACTGAGGACAGCACGCTGAGTGATGAGAGACAGTGCATGTGGTTGGAATGTGGAGTGCGAGCGGGAGAGACAGTGGGAAGCAAGGGTTTCACGTGAGGCTGTGTCGAGCCAGGTTTGCCTAACAGGGAATTCTTAATTTGAGAAACCCTCTGCTCTGTAAGATGGAGAAAAGGCTGCTGCGTGTTTATTCTGCAGAGAAAAATCCCTGAATTTGATGCCTTCTGGAATTTGTCTTCTTTTCTGTCATAATATTTTTTCCCTGTCACCAGAACTCAACAGAATCTATTTAGACTCTTCACATGTGGTCCGTTAAGCCCCCTGTAAGACTAGATCATTTTGTCGTTGTCCTGAATAGTTTATGGGAATAGAACGTATCAATGCAGCCTCCATATGATCCTATAATGTTAGGGGAGTGTGGCCAATTGTCTGCTGTTCTCATTTTTCTGTTGGTTCTGTGGAAAGCTACAAATCACCCTCCGATCCAAGGCATGCAACTGGAATTTAAATTTTGGAACTGGAGCTAGTCAGAATCAAAGAGAATTAATTCCATAATAATTAAGTGGGTATTGGTATTCCTTCTCAGTAAGCAATACTGGAGCTTGGTGCTGAGACAGGAGGCCTAGAGGGAATGATGTGTCTCCAGGGGTGGCCATAGTTTCCAGTGGATGGTCCTTCCATTACCAAGCTATGCCTCACCTCTAATGGGTCAACCACGGGGCTTCCATGAACTCAGGAAAGTACTCTGTGCTCTAAGAAGGGCTGGAATCCAAGTTTCCCCCTTTGGCTAAAGCTGAAACAAAAACAGGAACTTCTCCACCCACCTCTGTCTGCCTCAGGTAGCTGAGGTTTTGGAAATGAGTTAATTGTTTTTCAGTCTTTGGAAGATCCTGATCTCCATTTTACCCAGCCCTCTCCAAAATAAACACACCTGGTCCTGCTGCAGGTCTTCCGAGGCACAGCGCTGGACTTGGCTTTGGCTGGTCTCTGACTGCCTGAGAGACGACTTGGATACCCTTGCCCCCAAATAGCACAGACATCCAATAGAATGTCCTCGTATGGGCCCTGTGATGGGCAGAGCCCCGGGCTGGGGCGTGAAATTCTCATAGCTTAATCCTCAGCCCCTAGAACAGAGCCTGGCAAATGGTGGGAACTCAACAGGTTAATATGTTTGTGGAGTAAAATGAGCGTGCCTCACACTGCTCCAGTTTGCAAGCCAGGTGTCACTCTTCTCTCTCCCTTGACCTTCAACCCAGACCGCAGGGCTTCTTCCTGAGATTTTGCAGTTCGATTCCACCAGTGTTTTGAACTGTCTGTGTGGGCGGGGGTGGGGGGAGGCTGGTTTACAAAGGTAAAGAAGATAAGACCTACCAACTACTAAGTACTGAGTAGTTAAAAGGTTGTGGACCTGGCTTCAAATCCTGCCTTCTCCATTTCCTTCTGGCAGTTGGAAGTCACTTAGCCTCTCTCAACCTCAGCTCCTCATTATAAATGGGTAATAGTATCTATGTCAAAGGACTGTGGTGAAAATGAAACAACACACTGTACTTAGCACAGTGTCTGGCACCTAGTAAGCATTCAATACAAGATACTACTACTACCACTAACTATAATAGTCATTGAACGCATGCCAGGCGCTATCCTAGGCACGGAGGATAGAGGAGTGAATAAGAAAAGGACAATCCTACGATATACATGTAAACTTTAAAGAGAACAATTCAAGTAATGACAAGTGTTATGAAAGAATGAGACATAGTGATACCATAGATGACTAGAATGTGTGTAGGGGCAATGCTGCTGTATTTGTGGTGTCAAAGAATGTCCCCCTCCCCCACGCAAGGAGGGGATATTTGAACTGAGACCTGGATGGCAAGGAGAAGCTAGCCAGTGAAGAGCCAAGGGAAGGGCATTCCAGACAGAAGGAAGAGCTAATCCAAAATCTAGAGATGGGAATGAGCTTGGTACGTTCCAGGGGTGGAGACCAGGCCAGCATGGTTGGAGTGAACTGAGGACTGCTGTGGCAGGAAGTGGGGCTGCAGACGCAGGCAGGGTCTTGGTTATGTAGGGCCATGAAGGTCATAAGGATGAGTTTAGATGTTCTTATGAGTTATTGGAAGCCTCTGAAGGAGTTAAAGTCCAGGAGTGACATTATCTGATTTATATTTAAGACAATCGTTCTGGCTGCCCTGTGAAAAATAGAATGTGGGGGAAAGAGTGAAAGCAGGGACGTGGATCAGGAAGCTATGGTCATGATCCAGGCCACAGATGATGGTGTCTTGGACTAGGGTGACGGTGCAAATCCGGAGAAAAGAGCAGATATGGGTCTGTTTTTGAACTAGAGCACAGGGAAGTGGGAGAGTATGTGGAGAAACAGAGGCCACACAAGAATGATCCTAGGATTCTGGCCTGAGAGGCTGGGTGGATTTTTGGAGATGAAGGAGAGGAACAGGTTTTGGGAAACATATCAAAGAGAACTCGTGTACAGGCAGGCTAGAATATAGCACAGTGACAGTACCAAGGGCACTGGGAGGCAGGCGAGAGCGTGGCTAACTCTGGAGCTGCGGGGAATGTGGGACGGCTAGATGCAGGATGGGATTGCAACTGACCTTTGAAGGACTGGACTTGGGAGGGCTGCTGGTTCCGGGAAAGGAGTGGTTTGAGCATAAGTCTGGGCATGAACAGGTGCCTTAAGCTCATTTTTTCAGATCTCTTTACATATTGGTTTCTGACAGCTGAGGAAACTGAGACTCAGAAGTTAAATCACTTGCCCAAGGTCATAGAGTTAGCAAGTGGCAAAATCAAGATCCCCATTCCAAAGAAAGGGGGCTGAATGGTGGAACTGAACACAGGAGCACAGAGCAGCAGACAGACAGGGACTGTAAGACAGGATTGAAAAAGTGAAGGTTGGGCCAAATTGTGAAGGGCCTGGGGTGACAATGCAGAGGCTGGGCCTTATTTTGCAGGTGTAGATGAAGAGGAGCCATTGTAGGCTCTCCCGTGGGCAAGCAGCATGATCAGCACTGTGATTTTGGAAAGTGCCTGGTGTTGACTGAAAAAAATGCACAACTTGAGAGTTGTGAGTTAAGTTTTATTCGGGGCAAAATGAGGACCACAGCCCAGGAGACAGCATTTCAGATAGATCTGAAAAACTGCTCCAAAGAGATTGGGGGGAAGATCAGTATATATGTGATTTTGGTGAAGGGGGAGTACACATAGTCAAGCACATATTTTTTGCAGAAGGCTACTGCTAGTCATGAGGGGAAGATGTCACCATGGAGGATTTTTACTGCTTTTCTAGATACGAGGAGATGAAGAATTGGGCTCATAAAATCGTCTCCTGAAAATATCTATCTGAAAACCCGTTCTGCCAGTTTTTCCCAGAGCACAGAGTGCCTCATTCCTGATCTCCACTCTGAACTCCTTTCAGGGGGTGTTGAAGGTCAGCAGCTACAGCAGCTCTTAATTTGATCCTTGTAGAGGTAGACGGCAAGTGCCAATCTGTAGGTGACACTGGTGAGATGGTTAGATGGGCCAGAATGGAAAGCACCTCATAACACTATTAATTAATTTTTAAAAAATACAGGTCCTGGAGATATAATGACAAGCAAAACCTGACACAATCTGTGCCCGCATGTAAGAACTAACAAATTAAATAAGCATGCAAACAAGTGGAGAGCCTGAACCATGAACAGGCAAGTACATGACTATGAGGTAGCTTAGTAACCAGGATTTTGCTTACTTTGGCACCAGTCCTCAAGACTTCCCTGATGAGAACTGGGACATTCATTGACCCCAGTTCTAGGTTACACTCTGCCCCTAACCCATACTGAACTAGGGCAAGTCACTGCTTCTCTGGACCTCAGTTTCCCCATGAGGCCCATAGGGGCCCTAGATGATCTAATTTCCCTCCCATTCTGACGGTTTGGAATTTTCCTGTCCAAACACCATAGATCCCACTCCACAGCTGCTAACTGACACGTGGTGCCTGACATTAGAACGCAGTAACTTCTCGCCCTTGCCTCTAGCCTTCCCCGGAGGCCTCCATCTGTTCCCCGTCGTCACGGTAACCGCCTGGGCCTTCCTCAGCTGGAAACTTTGAGTGACGACAGCAACTACGCCACTATCATGCGTCCCATTTGCCAGGTTAAAACATGGCCACCCCCTGCAACACACCACCCAAGCTTCGCCCTAAATACCCGGGCCCGACCAGCCCTGGAGCCTACTCTAGGGCAGGAAAGAGAGGAACAGGTGCGCCAGTACAGCGAAGAAGACTTCTGGGAACGTCTCCGGATCCTTAGTTTCTCTGGCGTCTCTGGGAGGCACCAAATCACCGCCCTATAGCGTCACTTCCGTCGACCCATGCGCCTAGGATTGATAGTTGCGGACATCCAATCAGAATAGGTCCCGCCCCCACGCCCAGGAGGAGGCGGGTTTGAGACGGAAAGTCCCGCCCCACGGCGACTTGAGACGTCAGAGTCGCCATGGCCAGCTACCACTACGGGCAGGTGAGTGTGTGAGGGGCGGGCGAATCCAAGTGGGTGCCTCGCCAAGTCCAGGCCCGGGATCCCCTGCTTCTCTTTCTCCCCGCCTTCTCCGCGCCTTTCCCACGCTGAGGTTGGCTTCAACGAGGTTTCGCGCAGGAGAGAAGGGAAAAGGGATGGTCGGTCGCGCCTGGCTCACGTCACGCAGGACTGCACCTCTGGGAGGTCGTGTCGCGCCCCCTTTGACGTCGTGCACGGGAAGATTTGGGGTTCTTGGACCCCACAGAGTCAGACTGGGCTTGGCCTGGGCCCCATATTTTCCCAGGATCCCGCTGGGGCCGCAGGCGGGGTCATCAACGCCAACAGAACGTTTAGAGCACTGGTTCTGTCGGTATCTTTTGGGGAGTTGATAAAAATACACTCTTGACGTACTGCATCTGAATAATCAGGAGAACCTGTGGGTTTAGCAGGCTGCGCAAACGAGCTTGTTCGACTACTGACGAGTCCAACACTTCCATTTCACACACAGGAAAGCGAAACCCAAGGAGACATGGAATTTATTTGAAGTCACCAGGCAGTTAGGCAGCAGAGCCCGGAGCTGTCAGCAAATGCCTTTTCCCCACTTGCCAGCCCATCTTGATCCAGGCAAGAACACCACAGCAAGGCGAGTCAGAGGAAGGTTCACACCTTGGCTCCATCACTTAAATAGTTTTGAGCCATTGAGCCCTTTCTGAGCTGAAGTTTCCTCCTCTGTAAAATAGGGCCAAATAATAGGATCTACTTCATAGAGCTGTTATGAAGAGTAACGAAGTGATGCTTGTAAAGCATTTGGTACTATGAAGAGTGTGACAGGTGTTACCTTTTAGTATTTTGATTTTTACTAGATTCCTTGAAGGCCAGTGCTGGAAGGGCCCTCAGAAGAGTCCCTTCGTTTTAGCTCAGAGAGGGCTCCTGAGTTGCCTAAGATCACACTAATTTAGGAGATAAAACCCATGCAGGAAAAATTGGAAAACAAGGTCACATGGGATATTGCTAAGTGCTGGGCTGAGTGTAATCACATATCAGAAGATGTGGCAAGAGCCCTCGTAGGGAGTGCAGCCCTGTACAGTTTTTGCACACAGTATTTGGACATCCGTTATCTCAATCATGAAGGTTCTGTGAGCAGGCTAGCAGGGATTATTCCCCCAATTTATAGCTGAGGAATAAGCCCAAAGAGGTTAAGTGGCTTACCCAAGGTCACACATAGCAAGTGAGGGAGTGCCCATGCTAGAACTTAGAGTTTCTATCATTGCATACTTAGCAGAGGTAGGAAGGAGAGAGGCCAGCCTGGGCTGGGGTTAGGAGGAAGTATAACCTAGCAGTGTTTCCCAAGCTCAGTTGCATTTGCTGAGGCTTGTGAATGTTAATAAGTATTGCTAATAAAGGAGTATTCTGTGGTTAAATAAGTTTGGGAAATACACTGTTAAATACAGCTTAATGAGTTTTGTTAACCTGTTAACCACAGGCCATCTCAGAATTCTTAATTTGTTAATAGACATTGTAAATTTGCCAGAGAGGCAAAATTTGCCAGAGAGGGATAGAATATGAAGTGTTTCTTAAACTTAACTATGGAACCCCCCACCCCACTTATATGACATAAGTCTGGTCATATGTTGGTGACACTGGTATTCTTGAGGAACACAGTTTGGGAGAACATTGCCATAGTACATTGTTTCTCAGTGGATGGTCTACATCAGAATCACCTAGGAGCTTGTTAAAAAAGCACATTTTGGGGTTCCACCTCAGACCTGTTCTGTACCCAGGAAAGGCCCAAGCATCTACATTTTAATAAGCTTTTGGAGACAATTTGTATGCATCCTAGAAGCAGTGACTTGGAAATTAAGAGCCTCAACTTCCAGGTTAGACAGAACTGGGCTAGAATCCTAATTCTATTTAATAGTTATACACCCTTGGACAAATCATCTAAGGGCTCTGAGCCTCGGTTTCTTCACTTGTAAAGAGGGAGGAATAGTACTTCATAGGGCTGAAAAGAGGATGAAATATGATAAAGCCTGTAGGGAGCTTGGCGCATTGCTGATATCTAGTGTGTGCCAGAGCGTGGTGGCATAGCTCTTGCTGCTGGGGTCACTGTTATCATGCCGTGCTGCCTGGGCTTATGCTCAGTGAAATATTGAAAAGGAGCACAGAGAGGAATGTGTCTCTAGTAGAGGAAGAAATGCTTGTCTCCCATCATACCTTCTTCGTTCCTCCTATCCAGCTCCTGGTCCACAGTGTTCCAAGAAAGGAAGTGGGTTGTCTGAAAGCATCCAAAGGCTTAGTCAGTGCTGCCTCCCCTCCACCCAGTACATAGCCCTGGAGGATTCCAGCCTCTTGTTAGGAGTCAAAACTCCTGTAATTTTCTGCTGCATCCTGCCCCAGGGTCCTCAAGCATGGACTGGGTGTTGGAGGAGTAAAACTCAAGTACCCTTTGGTCCTGTGGGGGAGCCAGCCTGATGGATTTCAGTGCTTAAGAGCTTGGTCTCTGAGGCCAGCGAGATTTGGCTTCAAATCCTTGCTCTGCCATTTCCTTGCAGAAATTTCTTGCAGAAGTCTGAGGCTCGGTTTCCCCCTTTTTAAAAATGGGGTGATAAGAGTACCTACCTCAAGGGTTACTGCAAAGATTAAATGAGATAATCCACATAAAGTGCTTGATATGGTGTTTTGGCGTATAGTAAATACTCCAAGGGGAAGAGTGATACAGACACGTAAATTGTAGAATCTGTGCGATGAGTATTAAATGGGAGTAAGTGTCAGGCTAGCACAGGAGGGACCCCTAACTTAGTCTTGAGGGAAGGAAGTCTTGTTAAAGGAGGTGACGTTTAAGCCAAAAACCGAATCTCCAGTAGGAGTTAGCTGGGTGAAGAAAGGCATGGTATTCCAGTGGAGGGAATAGTATTCACAAAGGCCAGGAAGCAAGTAAGAGAGCCCAGTGTTTTGGAAGAATTTAAGGAGATGAGTCTAGTTGTAGTGAAGAGGAGGGGGGGAAAGGGTAACAAGACCAGAAAGGCAAGCAAGGACCAGATCCTAAAGGGCATTATGTGCCTTTTTGAGGAGTGTGGACTTCATCCTGAGAGTTGTTGGGGAGCTCCTGAAGAGTTTTCTCCCATTCGTGCTTTGAGCTGTGACCGTGGGGCACTGTCAGGGGGTGTTGAAGCAGGAGAGACAAGGCAGGGAGACCAGTTTCAAAGCTGTTGAAGTAATCTAGGTGAGAGAACAGTGACCTGGTGAACATGGAGCTGGGAGGTGGAAGTGAGAAAACTTGCTGCCTAATTGAGGTGACGGAGGAAAGGAAAGAGGAGGTGTCCAGGAGGGCCTCAGGGTTTCCCTTCACTGCAGTGGGAACACAGAAGGAGGAATAGATTTGGACGGAAAGTCCAGGAGGTTGTTGGATATGAGGTCTGCAGCTCATGAGAGATGAAGCTGGAGAGAAAGATTTTGGAGTGTCAGCACAGAGGTGGTAATTGAAGTCTTGGGACAGTTCTTGGCTCGCTGTTTATTGGCTGCAGATTTCTGGCCTTTAAATATTTTAAGAAGTTCTGCTGGTGAATGCCCAAACCACTCCTTCTGTAGTCTTGTGATTGTTTAACCCCTTAGAATGGGCTCTAACCTCCTCCAGCGGGCTGGGGGCTAGCTCCAGAGCACAGGCTTGTGTTTCCCCTCAGTACTCAGCATGGACCAAATTTTGACACCACTGGGCTTCACAAGGGTCTTGGGGTAGAAGAATGAGCCCTCAGAGCCAAAAGAAAATGTAAGACTTTCTGAGTGGGTTATTTGGGAGGGGGTGAACTCCCCACCACTTGCGGGAATGTAAACAGAGATTCCAGATGGTGCTGCAGAGATTCCATCATCGACTGAGAGGTTGGACTGGGAGGTCTTTGGGGTCTCTTACAATACTGTGGCTCTCGAATTGGGTCTAGGTGCGGGGGTGAAAACAGAATAAGATTCTTCTGAGTCTCCCTAATTTCTGGGCTTGAAGCCTCTGAAAGATTACCTAATCCAACCCTTTCCCCTTCAACCCCTTCCACTGTAGAAACCCGTCATATCTGACACATATATTTAGGACAGTCTCTGGCACTAGCACGTGGTAGACACTCACTCATCTATTGGTGAACACCCAGAAGAGGGTAGAGTGGTGGAGTCATGCAGACCCTGTTTTGAAGCTTTACCAGTTCTAGCTGCGTCATCACAGGCACATGATTAAACTCTGCACCTTAATTTTCTCATCTGTAAAATGGGGACCATAGCACTTGCCTCATAGGACTGAGGATCAGTGAGAGCCTTAATAAAATGTTAATTGCCCCTTCCCCCCACCCAAATTTATCAAATGTAGTTTATTTGCAATCAGTAAAGACCTAGGGTTAGTTTTCTGTAATGTTTTGGAAACCATGATTGCTGAACTCTTCCTGTCTTTTTTTTTTTTTTTTTTTTTTGACAATCTTGTGTTTATCAGCATGAAATGCTCTTGGAAAAACTCTTCAGAGGGTTGGCAAATGGCATGGAGTAGTATAAAAGAACATGGAATCAGGGACTCTGGTTTTCATTTCTGGTTCAGACATTTACTAACAGCTCAGTGTCCCTGGGAACCCTCTTCCCCAGCCTGGATTCTTGTGGTTTTACTTTCTTCGTCCTCTGGTGCAAGCTAGAAACCTGAGTCATTCTAAACACTTCCCTTTCTTCACTGCCCCCTCCATCGCTTCTCTAACCTAATTAGTTGCCAAGTCATGTCTAGCCTATCTCTGAAATAGCTTCAGAATCCATCCTGTTCTCTCTGAGTCTGCTGTCTGGTTCAAGACCTGCCTGTCCAGCACCTGGGCTGCCGCCTCCCCCACTAGTTCATCCTTCACACCCAACGCTGCTTAGTTCTCTAAACAAGGCCCGACACGTTTCTTCCCTGTTGGAAACCCTTCTGTAGCGCTCTGTTTCCTCCGGCATAAAGCTCCAGATCTTTTGAGTGGTATTCATTTGTTCACATTTTTATGGCGGCTTGCCGGTGCCAGGCTCTGTGCTGGACCCTGGGCTACCGTGATGAATGAGGCCCACTGTCTGCCCCTGGGGAGCTCACTGCTGTGTGACAGAGAGAAACTGCTCTAAGATGCACCAGCTAACTGAAATGCAGCAGGACAGGTGATAAGAGAAGGAGCATGTAAAGAGCTTGCCTTTCTGAGTTCACTCCGCGTTCTTGCCCCAGCCCCCTGCTTTTTAGCCCACTCCCTGACTACTCCATGCTCACTCATAGGTCTGTGTGTTTGTCTTTCTTTCTTCCGTCTGGAGTGTCCTTTACTGCCTTCCTTTTGGAGAATGCCTGTGTATCCTTCAGTGCCAGTTCCAGTATTATTCCTGCCTCTTCCAGGAAGCCTTCCTTGACCCACTGCCTACATGTGTTAATTTGATTGCTCATTTATCATTTGACAAACAGAAACAATTCCTCTGCCCATGCCTTCTTAATAGCATTTAAGTAGATTTTTCTGATGACAGTGATCAGATTGTATCATAATTATCTGGGGCTCCTCAAGGCCAGGCCCTGTTTAGTTTCGTGCCCCCGGCCTAGCACAGAGCCTAACACAACATTGTTGCTCTGTAAATGCTTGCTGAATGGATGAAGTCTTTTCACAGTTGTACACCTCAGTTTCTTCATCTGAAAATAGGCCTACTATTACCTTCCTTTTTTCTGTTGGAGGATTGTTGGCAGAATTTTGCCAGTAGCATTTGTATGTATGTGAAAGTGCTTTGTAAACTGTACACGTAAGGGCTTTAATGCAGGGCAGAAAGGAAAGGGTTTAGTTGCGGCCAGGCTGCACCAGACCCCTGGATTGTGATAGGACCAAGGTCAGAAGACCGGCCGGCAGCACTAGGTTGGTTGTCGTGGGGTTGTTTCCTGGGGGAAGGGCTGTGCCTCAGGTGTCGTAAGCCAGGAACAGTTGATGGCTTTGCTCACACGACTTCTTGTGGAGCAGCAACTTCCTGGCTTGGTGTCCAGCCTGTTCTTCGGGTGTGCCCAGACTCTGCAGAGTCCCCATCCCCTTTTCTAGCCTACACTGGAATCCTGTGCCCTATCGCTTAAGGAAAGAGCACCGTGGCAGGAGATGGTGGGAGTCAATGGACTGGGATATGGACGGGGAGTGATCTGCCTCTGCCTTCAGCTCACAGTGTTTCTTAAGCCAGCCTCTTCCCCTCACCTGGCCTTAGTTTCCCGTCTGTAAACTGAAGGGGTTAGGTTGAAGAGGTCTTCTGGGCACCTCTCCCATCACACCTCTCCAGCTCCCTTGGGAGTCTTTAAGTCCTAATCCAAGTGCTGCTTTCTCCTGGAAACCCTCCCCGATTTCACTCTCCTTTGTGGTCCCATGGCACATGGCTTATGTGTCCATTTTAAACACCTGTTTCCTTATGCTGTTTTGTTAAATGTTACAGAGTATGTTTCAGTGCCTCTCCTATTAACTGAGCTCCTTTGAACATTTCACTCTCCTTTATACACACCCCCCGCCCCAAGAGTTTACCTGGCCCAGGGCTTTGCTGATAGCAGTAATAATAATTACTATAACAGCAGAGCTACGATTTATGCTGGACGCTGTTGTAAGAGCTGCTTCTTGTATTAATGGTTTTCAGACTGCCTTTTGAATCACTGGGGGGTTTCTGCAGGGCTCGCTCACAGCCTAGCAAGGGAGGGGCTATGTGGTCAGGGCTCTGGGACCCCCACCTCCAGCCAGAGCAACTTCCTTTTGCCAGTTTTTAAATATTTTTATTCATCAAAAGGTTCTTTAGGGAGTTCCCTGGTGGTCCAGTGGTTAGGATTCGGCGCTTTCACTGCCATAGCCCGGGTTCAGTCCCTGGTTGGGGAACTAACATCCTGCAAGCCGCGTGGCCAAAAAAAAAGGGGGGGCGGATGTGGTTCTTTAGCTAAAAATTTAACTAACAAAATTCTGCTGTATACATTTCTTGTAATCTACAGAACAATTCAGTGAGGAAGGGATTATTATATTTTACTTGTGAGGAAACAGGCCACTGACCCATGGTCATGAGCTCAGCTGATGAGAGAAGAGTTTTGAATTGAGATTTGCCTGTGACTTCATTATCTGTGAAGGAGTCTTGCTACGAGCTGTGGCAGCTTCCAGGGCATAAGAGCGTCCACGATGCTGAGTGGGGAAGGTGGAAGGACGTGCTTCCTGCCCTCCCTCAAGAAGCCTCTCCTCCCCGAGCAAGCAGACTCTCTTGAGATGACGTGTGACTTTGGCCTTAGCCTTGAGGGTAACTGTCCTGGAAGCTATCAAACGCAATTAAAAGAGGAAATCCAGGCTCGTACTGCCTAGGCCACTGGTGTGCCTTACAGGTTGATCTAAAACGTGTCCAGATGGTACCATCCTCACAATGCTTGGAGCCGGGCGCAGTTGCTCTCTGTGCCCTTGAGCTCACTGCAGATGTGTTGAGACTGTGGTCCACTAGGCCATTTAGGGAGATGGAGCCGAACACTCTGAGCCTCAGGGATCCCTGGCTAGTGGCGTGGGGACAGGGACAAGAGAGGGAGGAGTGCTCCCATGTATGCTCTACTGTTTACATGGCCTGGGCTTAGCAGCCAGGAGACCTGGATTCTGGCCCCAGCCCCTCCACACGGTTGTTGTGTGATTTTTCTGGACTTGAGTTTCCTCCTCCATAGAAGAGTCCTACTATTAATAGTTGCTGTGTATTGAGTGCTTACTTTGTGCGAGGGCCTGTGTCAGAGCCCTTTACGTGACCGGCCTCATTTCATTCACATACTAACCTGGAGGTAGGCAGGCACTCTTAGAGCCAAGGATATTTAGGCTTAGAGAGGGTAAGTCATTAGACCAGTTAGTAAGTGGCAGACCGCAAGCTTGAACTGGTCTTTTTCACTCTTAACCATGGGCCTACATTGCCTTAGGAATAGGGTCTTGCCTACCTGTCTCACAGAGCCATGAATGAGGCTGGGGAAATGGTTTTGCATCATGAGCTAGAGTAGGGTAAGGAAGACATGCTGTGGATGAATCCGTGCTATAGATGCATCATTTGTGACTGAAGAGGGTCAGGGGCATGGGCTGGAGATCACATTTGCACTGTGAATTCTGCGGATAGAGATGGGGGTACCACAGGGTGTGGATTTGGAATTCAGTTTGATTAATTTGCCCGCTCATTCATACAATAAATATTTATTGAGCATCTGTTCTGCACTGGGGGCTGGGGATAAAGGGATAAAGTGGCAAACCAGACATGATACCAGCCCTTGTGGAGCCCCTTGGTGTGCAGGGAAGGGCAGCCAGGAGGGCAGGGTTCCAGCCCTACCTCTGCAGGTCAGTGGCAGTGTGACCTTGGGTAAGTTGTATCTCCTCCAGAAGCCTTAGGTTCCCCATGTGAGCAGTGGGGTCATGATTCCAGTCCAGTTCAGCCCATAGGATCAGTTGAAAGAAAGGCAGTGGCAGTGCCTTATAACTGTAAAGTTCCATACTGTGGCTAGTTTCTGGCCCTGTCATTCTGACTGATATCTTGCTCTTCTTGCAGGGCTGCCCAGGAGCTGGAGGACAAGCACCCGGAGCCCCTCCGGGTAGCTACTACCCCGGACTCCCCCATGCTGGAGGGCAATATGCTAGCGGGGTACCCCCTGGTGGCGGATATGGAGGAGGTCCTGCCCCTGGAGGGCCTTACGGACCACCAGCTGGTGGAGGGCCCTATGCACACCCCAACCCTGGGGGGCTCCCTTCTGGAACTCCAGGAGGACCGTATGGTGGCGCGGCCCCAGGGGGCCCCTATGGACCACCACCTCCAAATTCCTATGGTGCCCAGCATCCCGGGCCTTATGGACAGGGAACACCTCCTCCAGGTAAGTAGGGATCTTGGACTCCAAGTGCCTCTGACCTTGTTCTGAGTTATCCAGGGCCCTTCCTTGCCCTCCTTGTGGATGTGTAGGCAGCCTGGTCTCCGGCACCTTAGCATCTTGTCTCTAGCTTAGCTTGCATTAGCAGAATGAGAAGTCTGTTAGTTAGCTTTGCTGTGGTAACAACTCCTAAATCTCTGGCTTACAGTGGCAAATGTTTATTTCTGTTCCTTGCTCACACTTATTTACTCTTGGTTACATGTCGGCAGCTGCAGGCTTGGCTGCTGAGGTTCTGCTCCACGTGTCTTTTCTTTCCAGGATCCAGGCTGGAGGAGCAGCCCCTATTTGGGATATACTGTTTTTGTGGCAGACAAAAAGAGTAAGAGAGCTAGCAGGAATGCACGATGCCCCCTAAAGCTTCTGCTTTGAAGTAGTTTATATCTCTTCCACTCACGTTTATTGGCCAAACCACATCCTCTGGTCAAGCCTGACATCAATAGGATGGGAATGGATACTCCTCTCACTGGAGGGGCTCTGCAGGCCGCCAGGCAGTGGAGAGGATGTACCACGCTCTTGCAGGGAAGCAGGGGAGGGAGTGGATTAGCAAATGATTGGAGATAATACTACAGTCTACCGTGGGGAGAAACCCCATTTCTGTGTAAGAGAGACTGACTGCTATATGTAGAAAGGTAAGATAGCATAGTTGTTGAAAGCTTGGGCTCTTGAGATCAGATCACTTACTGACCTGACCAAATGACGTCATCTCGTTAAGCCTCAGTGTCCACATCTGTAAAATGTGTAAATGTCACTACCTCACAAGTTTGTTAATAAAGATTAAATGAGAAGTTGCAGGTAAACACTGGGCACAGGGTATGGCAAATGGGAGGGGCTTAGTAAACAGTGTTCTGTGAGAGGACTCATTCTGGAGCATTCTCAGCAACGAGGTATGTGGCATTTAATGTGATAGCAGATATGGCAAGGGCCGTACCACTGAAAGATGCCGAGGCAGGCAGGAGAGTGATGGGATGAGATAGGGGAAGGATAAAGAGCAGAGATTGTAAAGCTGAGGTACTGGACAAATGGGGGCTGGGGAGGGGGCTTGGCAACTCAGTGGAGGCAGAGAATCTTAGGTGGGACTTCAAGCTCAGTGAAGATTTCTGAATGATTTCAGACAGGGGGTTGGGGAAGGTGAGATCCCAGACCCCTGTGTCCTCCCAGGCTCATTCAGTCAGCCTCTTCGCAGTGCTTGTTCCCAGGAGACCACACCAGCAGCGAGGCAGCCTGGAACCATTCTGGTGCACCTGAAGGGCCTCCAGGGAATGGTACTGCTGGGAAGCTGTAGCATCTTAGCATACATACCCAGCAGGTGGCCGAGGAAGAGGCTCAGACCTTGGGGGTTCTAAACACTGTGAGCCAGTGGCATTTATCTTATCAGAGCTGGGGCTGCTGGCTGTTTGCTTTCAGCTCAGAAGCTTCCTGGTGGATTTCCTCCTCCTTTTAAAATTTTGTTTCTGAGCCTACATGAGGTCACTGCAGGGAAAGAAACCCCTGGCTGTGAGGCTTATCCCTCCAGGGCCTGAGGCCAGAGATAATGGGGCTGCAGTGGAGAGGAGAAATGTGCTTCAGTCTCTTAACTGCTCACCCTCTGCAGCTTCCTCTCTCCTCTCCAGTGCCGCCCGTGAGCCCCTGGAGCAGTGCTTCTTTTTTCTTTCTTTTTAAATATTTATTTATTTGGCTGTGCTGGGTCTTAGTCGCAGCACAGGGTATCTTCGTCGCAGCGTGCAGGATCTTTTTTTTCAATTGTGACATGCGTGTGGGATCTAGTTCCCTGACCAGGGATCAAACCCGGGCCCCTTGCATTGGGAGCGCGGAGTCTTAGCCACTGGACCACCAGGGAAGTCCCTGGAGCAGTGCTTCTTAAAGTATGATCCGTATATCACCTGCAGTGGAGTCACCTGGAGGCCCCACTAACTTAACCCCGCTGAATACAGGGTCTAAATGTTGAACACCATGCTCTGCAAGAGAGGGTTGACCCTTAAAGGTGCCTCATTGCCCACAGGGAAGATCCTAAGGGCACTCGATTCCCAACGGGTCTTTCCAGACCCTCTCTTCCATCAACCCCAGACCCCTTGGAGTACTCTGAACACACTCTGTGCCTTCGCCACATGCTTTTTCTTTTCCCCATCGTAACTCTTAATCATCCTTTCAGACCCAGTTTAAATAGGCCTTCCTCCGCGAAAATGTGACTGCACACATTCCAGGCCCTCTGTGAAAACTTTATTTTGCTGTTATCTCATTTAATCATCACAGCAACCCTGGAAAGTAGGTCCATTTTAGAAATGGGGGAATCAGTACTCAGAGAATGAAACAATTCCTCTGAACCACACAGGCTAGTAAGGATCTTTGCTCTCTTTGCTTCCAGAGCCTGAGCTGCTCTATGCTGACTGCGCAGACCCCATTTTACAGAGACTCTCCTGCCTGTGGCTGTGACCTCCTCTCCGCCGTGCACAGCAGCTGTTTTAGGAAAGAGGGTGGGGCCTGTCTGGATTTCCCATCCGAGGAGGTCAGACTAGTCCCTCAGTCAGGCAGACCTTTATCCTTCTGGCCTTACTTTGGGGACTGGACAGTGGTTTCTGTGCTGTCTCTGATACTTACATGTGCGAAGGAGCCCTCAGTCAACTCAGCAGGTTTACCAATACTGTGTAACTCTGGCTTTTCCCCAAGACAGTCCTCTGTGCTTCTCTGCTTTCATGTGCCGCCTTCTCCCCTCACCCCCAGCCCACCCTGCATGTCTTTCCAAATGAATGATCCTTTATTCCATCTGACGTACACACAAAGCTCCCAGACACACAAAGCTGCTTGAACCATGACAGCAGTGCTAATAATCAGTAGGTATGTAGTGCTTGGATGGGGCCAGGTGTTGATCTAAGGGTTTTCATTTATTAGTTATATCTTTATAATAACCTTATGAAGTAGATGCTGTTGTGCTTGTCATTTCACAGATAAAAAAACCGAAACAAAGAGACCTTCAATAACTTAACCAAGGCTGCACATGGGAGAGTTGGGACTTGAACCAGGAGGCCAATTCTAGCATGAATTGAGCACCTCCCCTTTCTGTGTCCGGCTCTGTGCTAGCCCCTGGGGATTCAGAGATGAGTTAGGCTGGGATCTTGCTCACAAGTTGCTCCAAGTGTAACCTGGAAAGAGTAGGAAAAAACATGTACACGGTGGAATGATCAGGGCCATAGAGAGGAGTACAAAGGAGAGAGGAAGGAGGCCTGTCCAGGGATGGAAGAAGAGGAAAGGCTTTATAGAAGGAGCAGCATTTTATTTGGGTTTTGAAGGGTGGGTGGGAAATGGATGCAAAGAGATGAGGGAGAAGAGGGTATGAGACAGAGAGAACCTGGTGAGGTGAGTAAAGGCTTCATAGGGAGCTGTGAAGGTCTGGGTAGGACCAAGTGTCTTACTTACTGCATCTAGGCTGGAACAGAGGCAGAGGGGGACAGAGTGGGGATAGAGTGACAGGTAGATGGGGGTAGACCACATTGTGGGGAAACTGGAATGCTGTTTTAGGGATGCTGGACTTTATTTTGTAGACAGTGGGGAGCCTTTGAAGAGTTTTGAGTTGAGGTGGGGGGAAATTGGTGAGAACAGAGTGGAATTTTACAAAGATTACTCGGCAACAAGTACTAAGTGGTGGAGAGTTGCTGTCATGAGGATTTGGTTAGGATTTTGGGTTTGTTCCACAGTCAGGTGAGAGGTGTCTGAATCAGGGCAGGTGCGGTAGGAACAGGGAGGAGTTGATACCTGTGTATGGAACTGGCAGCTCTAGGCAGCTCTTTGGGTGTGTGGGGTGAGGACGTGTCAAAGATGTCTGCAGGGAGGTTTGGAGATGGGGACAGGCATCGGAGGTGATGGGGAGGGAAGAGACATGGAGCTCTGTGGCCACCCACATTCTGGTAGCTCTTGATAGAATATACCAGCTCTCCTGGTGCCAGAGATGGACCAGACCTGGTTCCCACCCCAGAGAGCTCCCTGCTGCCTGACTCTCAAAATGCTTGTCTCTGGGCTGTGCATGTTAGGTGCTCAGCAAACATTTTTGGGGAAGAGATGATCCCCCTTTTCAGAGAATTCTTAATCTGCCGGACAAGTCCCTGTTCCTTAGAAACTTAAAATCAACTAGAGAAGTGGCTGGAGCACTGTAGGAAAAACCTGAAGGATTTGTGGAGTAGAAATCAACCGCAAATACTCGTGAGTTTACACAGAAGGTCCTCTTCCATTAGAGTAAGGATGTTGTCTTGATGGAAGACAGGGAGTGGGTAGGCAGATTTGTGAGACTTTTGAGGTAGCTGGGGGGCACTGAGGCTGACCCTTCCCAGCATTTCTGTGGATTGGTCTTGAGGCCTGCGTCTGACTCCCCTGGTTGGCACCCCTTCCTGCAGGTGGCACCCCTCCCAATGTGGATCCCGAGGCTTACTCCTGGTTCCAGTCAGTGGACTCCGATCACAGTGGCTATATCTCCATCAAGGAGCTGAAGCAGGCCCTGGTCAACTCCAACTGGTCCTCGTTCAACGACGAGACATGCCTCATGATGATAAGTGAGTTACCTAGCCCTTCCTCATGGGCTCCAGCTGGGGCAGAGCCACCTCCTGCCTGACGGTAGGTGGGTGGGAGGCCATTCTGAGGAGAAATCTTTTGGCCAGGGAGAATTTCTCACAGGAAACTGGGTTCAAGGTGAGATCCCTTAGAGAGCTCTTTTCCTTAGACCTTTTGTCAAGTTCTAGACCTTGCTGAATCATAGGCCAGCTCAGTGTCTCATTCTGCAGAATGGGACTCCCTGTCCTGGTGGGAGATGGCAGGGAGGGGGTCAGCTGCCAAGCCTGCGGAGAAGATGCAGTTCTGGGAGGGGTGGAGGCTGGTATAGTACTTGATGAGGGTGCATCTTGGGTACCGGCATCTGGGCCTCAGGCCTGTGGTTCTGTGGAGTGTCCTACTCCAGCCTGGGGAGAAGGGAGCCTCAGTGGTATCTGAGGACCCTTGGCCCTTAGTCTTGAAGCCTTCTTTCCCTCCCCCACCCAAGACATGTTTGACAAGACCAAGTCAGGCCACATTGATGTCTACGGTTTCTCAGCCCTGTGGAAGTGCATCCAGCAGTGGAAGAACCTCTTCCAGCAATATGACCGGGACTGCTCGGGCTCCATTAGCTACACAGAGCTGCAGCAAGGTGAGGGCCTGGCAGGGACTCAGCGCACAGGCACAGCCGGATGTTTCTCTTTACCCCCTAAGACAGAGCAAGGGGTTCTCTCTAGCCTCTGGCTACCACGTGTCCAACTGCACTGCAAAACGCTGCCCTCAGCACAGGCCCTCTCCCCACCCCTTCTGTGACCTGGCTGGGCCGTGAGCCCAGTCCAGGGCAGGGAAACGATCGGGGCTGGGCTCTCTGGCGATGGGATTCCTGGCAGCACTAGGTGAGACAGGCGCAGCTGTCAGGGAGCCTTGGGGATGGAAATTCAGCAGCCGAGGGCACTTTGAGACTGGTACATGTGGCTCGTGTGGCTCTTTCCTCTCTAGTTTCTAGCATGCAGAATGGAAAGAGCCCTGTAGAGGGGCTCAGAAAGGTGGCTTCTGTTGCTAGCCCTACTAGAAGGCAATTTCATTCCCAGCTTTGGGACCCAGACCACTCTAAAAGTTGCAGTTGGGTAAGATGACCTGAGGCCACAGCTCCAGGTCTGGTTCCAATTCTGACTCCAGAGGATGGTTGGTTAGTGTGGGGATGAGAACTGGACGGGGAGCTTTGCCACCTGAGAGGGAGAAAGGGCTCCCCACAGAACCCAGTCCCTCGCCCTGGCCATGGATTTCAATCAGACTAAGGAGCCTGGGGGCGGGAGCAGGGGGAAGGGGAGCTCCCTGGTGGGAGGGAAAGGAGGTGACCTGTTCTGAGCACCTACTCTGTTGTCAGGTAATGGTCCGGTGATGGATATTTGTAAGGGTGATATTATCACAGGAAAGCTAATATTTATTGAATGCTTGCTATGGGCCAGGTACTGTAATAAGCTTTTTTCATATATTACATCATTCTTTCTCTGCATGTGATAGGTACTGCTTCTTATTCCCCACCCTTAGATGAAGGATCTCTTATTATTACCCTTTTACAGGTGAGAAAACTGAGGCTTAGTCTAGGTGACTTGCCCAAGGGCCACATAGCAAAAGGGGAGCTGAGACTTTAGCCTGAGCTGGTAGATTATACAGAGAGGAAGAAGGAAGCATCCCAGCTGGAGGGACAGGAGGAGCAGCGTGGCGGCTGTGAGCTTGGAACTGCCCAGCAGCCTCGCCTGGGGAGATGGTGATGATTTTATAACTTTTAGCAAATAACACTTACTGGGTGCTTATTATGTGCCAGGCACTACACCAAATCCATTGCACGATCACCTACTTTAATCCTTACTAGAACCTACAAGGTTAAGTATTATCCCAATTTTAGAGATGATAAGACAGAGGATTAGCAAGGGTTAATAAGCCACCTCTCATGTGTGTCTGCTCGGGGCAGGGTGACCCGAGGGGGCTCAGGCTCCTGTCTGTAACAGAGACGAGTCAGAGATGAGCGTGGACAGACTGGTGTCATTCTGGGACCCTGCAGGCCCCTAACTGAACAGACAACAGAGACTTTGAGAAAGAGGGATGGGGGCCTTCCAGCTCAGCGGAGCATCCAGAGCCCCTGTTGTGCTCCTGCCGTTTTGGACAGCCCCTCGGGACATCTGTCCTGTTTCTGCTTCGGTGCCAGTCCCCTTGAAGTTCCTGAACTGCTGTACTCCGTGGAGCTGGTTGATGGCGGTGCTCACGGCAGGTTTTCGTGTCTGCTCTGTGTGCCCCTCCTCTCCAGCTCTGTCCCAGATGGGCTACAATCTGAGCCCCCAGTTCACCCAGCTCCTGATCTCCCGCTACTGCCCGCGCTCTGCCAGTCCTGCCATGCAGCTAGATCGCTTCATCCAGGTGTGCACCCAGCTGCAGGTGCTGACCGAGGCCTTCCGGGAGAAGGACACAGCTGTGCAGGGCAACATTCGGCTCAGCTTCGAGGACTTCGTCACCATGACAGCTTCTCGGATGCTATGACCAGCCCATCTGTAAAGTGGGGAGCGCACCAAGGGACTTTTCCTGGCTCCTAGGGTGGGAGAAGCATGTGGGCCTCTCTTCATTTCCTGCCCTTCCTAGAAAAAGAATTCTCCCCTGCCTGATTCAGCATTGTTCCCAAAGAGGGCTGGGAGTCTGTGTCATAGCCACCAGGTAGTGGGGACCTGGGCTGAGACCACACAGGTAGGGGCCTGACCTAGGAGAGGACTGGAAATTGAATGTCCTTTTACGTCCCTGAGTATTTAAATGGCACAGGCTTGCGCCAGGTGCCAGAGATGCTGGTCATTGCAATGGAGTTAGTGTCCAGTCAGCTGGCTCCAGACTCTAGCTTTTCCTTCTATGCCCTGACGCCAGGTAAGTGTTCATCAGCCTCTTAACGATTGGCCCCTGCGTTCCCTCACCCACGCTGTCTTGTCAGATGAACCCAGTTTCTCCAGAATGGAATCTGACCAGGGTGAGAGATTTGCCCATGGGACCAGTGGCTTGGATTCCACCCCCCACAAGTCCGTGTGTGTTGACTTCTAGCTGCCTGTTCAGGGACCTTGGGCAGTCTGCTCTCTGGGCATCTTTGGCCAGGCTACCCCTCTGCAGCTTGGACCCCTCATACTTGCCTGCCATCCTCTGCTTGGCTTCAGTCCCCAGGGGACAAGTTGCTACCTCCCACTGCCAATGCTTTTTTTTTTTTTATTTGTGGTTGTTTTCATTTGGGGCCAAAAGTTTGGTGCAACTGTAAGCTTCAATGCAAGAATAAAGCTCTGGAGTTCCACATTTTCCACCACCTTCCCCGGTACAGGTGCACATGCTTGTCCGTTCAGTCACTCACTCATTCTTCCATTCAACGAATATTTAAGTGCATAGCATATACCATGCCATGCAGAGAGAAACAGCTCAGGGGGACATGCCTCCGCAGGGCTGCTCTCACTTACTGGGTTGAAGTTAAGTGTAACGTAACTTCAGGTTAAGTCTAACCTTGCCAGGTTCAGTCCAAGAAGCTGACCGTGTGTTTTATAACAGTTTCTGGCATTCTGGGCTAGAAGCAGCCACCCCAGACTTTCCACAGCCTGGCCTTTTTATTATCTCAAACCCTAGTTTTAATCTTCCAGACAAACTGCATTTATGCAGTCATAACTTTCTCCCCATTTTTGTTAAGCGCAGACATCTGTACTTGCCAGCTGGATCTTCAGATCAGCTTGATAATCAGTCTATAGCAAACGTCTACAGTGATCTGACAAAATTTCAGTCCGAAGCCAAGGCACCAGACGTTTTGGTTTGATTGGGGGACCTTATGATGGGTAATGGTGAGCTAATCCTTTTGTTTTGGGGGGATGAAGATAAGAAAACAGGCTCTCCTCCCTGCTTGGTTGGGGAAGCAGCTCAGTGAGGCCTGGCAGGTTATGTCAGGCTTAGGCAGTTCAGCCCCGGTTCTCCTCTGGGCTGCTGTCGTGCTAGAATCCTAGAGTTAGGTGGAATCCAGTTCCCAGAGGCCAGCCCCCATGCAGAGCTAGAACCCCTTCCATGACCCCACTTTGAGTCTGGCCTCTGCTTGCCAACCTCCAATGACAACTCAGTGCCTTTCCAGGCAGCCCATTTCCTCCTGGACTAGTAGGGACTTCTTCCTGATGTGGATTCCAAATCCCACCACCTTGAAAACACTACCCATTGGCTATGGTTTTCTCTCTTGGGCCACCGAGAACATACTCCACCCCTTCCTGCATGCCGGTCCTCTAGATATCTGGAACCTGCCACCACATTCCCCCAGGTCCTCCCTTCCCTAGGCCAGATAGTCCCAGGCTTTCCAGAAGCTGTTCACTGAGCTTCATTCCATGGCATCCTGGTCACCTGTGAGTTCATCTGAGTCCCCCAAAATAGAGGCCTGAGGCCCACCATGGTGCTGGGTTCAACCTGCAGAGAACAGAGTAGAACTGCAGCCGTTAGGGGAAGCTTTTGTTGTTTCTTTGTTCCCACTGAGCCAAGTGTTTACTGAAACCTGTGTCTAGAACAGTGTCAATCATACTCTGTCACCTTTGTGATCAGCTGGGGCTGAGGAACCCAGGACCTGGGTTCTTCCTTGTGGGCATGGTTGGTTCTGGGCTTGGGCGTCAGCCCTCACACCTCATTCCACACACTGCCCCTCCAAGCCTGGCTACAAACGTGACAAACAGCTTTGGATCCTAAGGCTAGCGGGAAGGGAGTGGAGAATGGGCGGGACACCCTGTACCCTCTGGCAACAGCTGCACATCTGTGGCAGTGTTCACGTGAGCTGGGCTGGCGAGTCATCTGGAGAGCAGGATGACATGCTCAGACCACTCCCTCCACCTGCTCTGCCTACGAGGAGGGGTGCTAAAGCATTCCTGGGCTGGGCCCCTGGCAGGAGCCGCGGTTTGCGGTTTGCCCCACTTCTTGACGGGTGAGGTCATTAATCAGGTTAAGCAGACCCAGCGGTGCGCATGACCGAGCTGGCCTCTGCCAGGTGTCTCCCGCTCGGCTCAGCAGAGTCCTTCAGACTGCTTCCCACCTCCTGCTCTGGCAGCAAGGATCAGGGCCTCTGGCAGCCCTCTAATCATCTTGGTGGCAGATGGAACACGTCTAGCCCAGTCTCTGGCTTTCTCTTTTTAATCTGTGAGTTCATAGAAAAGAAATGCAAGCCGTGATTTCCAAGAAGGTGAAGATAACAGTAAATTGGTCTGTTAACCCTGCTGTCTGCCCACCCTACCCCCCTTACCTTCCATAGACTGCTGGGCTCGTGAGCAGACAGATGTGGCCAGGATCGAGGTCCTGGCTTCAGAGCATCGGAGCCACGTGAGGGGGCAGGAGCACGTGTACTCTGAGACCTGCCCAGGAGCCATCTGGGATCCCGTGTGTTAGGGGACGAGAGGTGGGAGGGGTCAGCAGATAGCTGCATTCCAGCACTGTCTTCTCTCCTTCCCCAGGCTCCCCACCTTCTCACTCCTAACCTAAGAAGCACAGATTTTGTGCAATGACAAGGAAAGGGAACATTCAGTGCCAGGCTTTTAATTACAGTTGCTTCAGCCTGCTGGCCTCCATACCAAATGGCCTCATGGAGAGTGTTCTATCACTGCACAAGCAACGGGGTCCAGTCTGTGGTGTGTGCACTTGGCACCTGGTGAGGGTGGGGCTCTGTTCCCACTGGGGAGGGGCTGGGCTCAGATTAGTTCACATGGGCCTCAAGGAGCGCTGCCAAGTGCAGCCTGGGCTTTAGAGCCCCTGGACCAGATGGAAATGCCTGCTGGGACCCTTATAGCAGACTCCAGGGAAGACCTATGATTGGGTAGGAGAGGGGTCTTTGGGAGGAGGGCCAAGCTCTGGAAGGATGACAGTGATGGATGGTACTGTGCGGTATAGCCAAGTGAGAGGAACACAACGTTAATCTTGTCCTTAACACTTTACAGTTTACAGAGAGCTTTCCTTTCTTGAGCGTGCTTAATCCTCACATCAATCCGCTCAGGGGACGCAGCTCAGAGAAGGGAAGTGACACTGCCCAGAGTTAAACAGGCAGAAAACGAGGCGAGGAGCCCCGGTCTCGCACTGCAACCAGCAGTCTTTCCATGAGGAGTGGGGGCAGCTCCCCCAGTAGCCAGAGGAGCAGCCCAGGCAGGGGATAGGTTGCACCCCCTTTTGCCACCAGGATGGCTCTCGCTCAGGGCAGCACCGTGGTGACACTGGTGAGCACCACGTGCTCCGAGACTTTGGAGACAGAGCACCGGCTCTGCAAGGACAAGGACTTGTGGCTGGCAGAGGAGCGAGGGCTGGGGGCCTTCAGAGAGCCGCAGGGACCCAGGCCAGGCAGGCAGCAGGAGAAGGCGGCCTTAAACTGCTCCCGGAATTTGCCTTGGTTGAGAGACAGAAGACACAGCCATAAGGAGACAGAAGCAGCAGGAAGGGGCCTTGGGCCCAGGGACACCCACGCAGCTCCAGCCAAGCTGCCTGTGACGGGGTGGGAGGGAAGGGTAGAGCTGGGCAGGAGAGAGCCCCAAGGCGACCTCGTCACTGCCAGGGAGAGTGAGGACAGAGGCCCTGGAGCAGGTTCCCAAGGAGAAATGCAATTTTCATCTGATTCCTTGACTGCGCTCTGGCTCTGAGCCTGGCTGAAAACGTTTTGTCTGGCTCAGGGAGCTTAGGTCACCTCTGCCCTCGTTGGCGGGTAGGTGGAGGGGCTCACAGCTCACCATCTGTGGCTAGGCTTTCCCCATCTCTGCCCCATGGGGATGAAAATGACAGCGGCAGCAGCCCTTGCACAAGGCACTGTGCCGGGCACCTGAGTTTGTCGCCCAGCTCACCCCAGCACCCTGAAGGCCTGGAGTCCTTTAGCCTCACTCCACAGAGGCACACAGAGGTGCAGTGGCTTGCCCAAGGTCACCAGCCAGAATTTGGGCCCCGTTCTAATTCCAAAGCCTTCACTTAAAGGGTAGGGAACAGCGGGGAAGGAGGGATCACCACAGCCACCTGTACAGTCAGAGGACACCAGGCAACAGATTGCGCTGGAACTGAGCAACCATGTTTCAATCACCCCGCAAGCGTGGCCGGTGCCCAGCAGAGGGCCGAGCACACAGCAGGCGCTCAGTAAATGTAGACCAAACGCAGAAATGCATGTCAGGAAGTCTGCCTGACGTGTCCTCTGCTGCTTGCTCGTCTCTTCTGTTCTTCCCTCTGAGCTGGAAACCACCCGGCTAGCCTCTGTTGAGTAATTCTTTAGTCTCAGTGAGGGTTACAGCATTGACCCCAGCCCCTTCTTTAACCTTTCAACCTTTCCTCAAAGATTGTCTGTCCAGGCTTGAGCAGTCATCTGGTCAGTTCTCTAGGCCTGGTCCGAGTCAGGTCTGGTGAGTCACGCTCTGCTGAGCCCAGGCGGGGGCCCGGGGTGGGGCCTTTCCACCCTGAGACCGGGAGGTAGTGGAAGGGGGTGGGGGCTATGGGACAGTGGACAGAGGAGGCCTGGGCGGGGGGGGCAGGGGACCAGGGATGCCTGGACTTGCAGAGGGGAGAGTGGGAGGGCTGGTGCTGGAGGCAGGTGGATTCAGGGGTAGCCCCCCCAAATTCGGGCCACTCTGCCAGCACGTGTCTAGCTGGGCATGGGGAAGCTGTTTCCTGGCCCTGGGCTGCCTCGCTGGTGGCCCTTCCTTCCCCCTGATGCCTCGATTATGCAGTCATCTTCTCAGGCAGGGGCTCCATCTGGAGCCTGTGTTGACCAGACTGGCTGATTGGCAGTCCTGCTGTGCATGCATCACGCAGGGGTGGAGGTGAGCTGGCCCAGCCCCTGCGCTCCCACCCACTCAGTGGTCTGCATAATCTGCAAAACTGGATCCTGGAGCTGGTCACCTTCTTTGGCCACTATTGGGAGTGTGGCCTGTCTCCCACTCAGATCAGGGCTCTTGGGCGGGGACAAGTCTTCCCCCTGAGTGGGAGTTCCCAGAGCAGGGTCATGATCCCCAGGAGGCAGCAGGTGTATTCTTCCCCGCATGCTTTATTCAGCCTGGGTTGAAGATGGGGAGACCATTGTCCTGGGGACTGTTGCCGCCCTCAGTTACTCTGCGTCCCCAGCCCACTCACCACTGAGGAAGCTGTAGATGATGGGGTTGGCGGCGCTGCTGGCGTACACCAGCCAGTGGGAGAAGGTGAAGCAGGCGTAGACGGCTTCTCGGTCGCTGGCTTGGCGGAACATCCCAAACACCCTAGGACCAGGGGGCAGGACACTCAGAAATGGGATAGGTGTGTGTGTGTGTGTGTGTTTATGTCGGGCAGGAGTCGCTGTCCTCATCTAC